CTGAAGAAATTGTTCTTTCGCAGTTGTATGTCCCAAACGGACGGTTACAATAAGCTTTGCAGTACGATCAATTATTCCATGCTTTTCCTATCATGTTGTTGGTTTTATGCGAGGCGGGTTCTTTAATCTTAGAAATGCGCAGGGGGATTGCCATTAATGTTCACGATTAGTACGTTCAAATACGAGCTTTTACATATGCAGTCTGTATTTATTTTTAAATACTTTGGGTTTTTTTTAACTCTTGATAATCAATCTCGACTTAATTTTGTACAATATAATTGTTTATTAGGCAGAAATGGGTATGTAGCAGCAGCTAGGTTTTGGCTGAAAATGATCTGCATATGTAGCAGCAGCTATCTTTTTTAAAGACAATATTTTACTTTCGAGACACGGCTTAGTTAGAACTTAGAATGATGGTTTTGCTGCCCTATAAGTAACAAAGCAAATTTATAAATGTGTTACACAAATTTTTTAATTATAATAATTAAAAAGAGTCTGCCTTAAATATAATTGCCAATTTGACTACCGTCTATTTTTCATTTTGGTAGCTAAATATTTATGTATTTAGTAGTTGAACTTTTAAAGCTTTAATTCGTTTAATTTTTTAGAACTTTTTATTAAATAAAAAGTTTATATATTTAATTTGTATTATAAGTATCTTATTTTTAAGTTAACAATAATGCGATTGTATTTTTAACTGGCTTTACTGAGAAGAAGAGAGTGTGAGAGGGTAAAATGGTTACTAAATTTTTCTGGTATTAGAATTCAGGTAAAGGAATTAAATTTGTCCATCCCTTCAACTTGAGTTGAGTTAAAAAACACGACTGATAAAGTTCCTACTGGAGGGAAGTACCCAAGTACTGTTCACGGCAACTGCTCTCTCTTAAAGCCACCTGTCTTTAATCATGTGCCTTATCCGTCCCCTCGCGCTTCTGTTGAACGTTGATGCTCGATGCTTAATGGATTATGTGCTTGGCGTCTCTGACGAAAGGCCGAGTTTCACTTCCACTCTCATTGTTTCACCTTCATAGCTTCTTCCTTGCTAGCGATTGTAGCGTTTCTTCATCCTATTTTCTATCCGTTTCTCAATCTTATCATTGTGCGATCCACAAGTATGACAAGGCCCCTTTGTGATTCACCTATGGTGAAGCACTGCCACCCCTGCTTTTCATCTCAATCTTACAAGTTTCTCCTATCTTTCAAGGCTTCGTCTCTCAAATCCCATTTATCTTCCTCTTTTATCGATAAAAAATTCTCGTCTACCTTCCAATTGCGATCAAATACTTCAAAACTGGTGTGTTGTAGTAAACGGAGCACGCGCCCTGTAGCTTCGCTGGGAGGTTTTCTAGGCGGAATTTTTAGAGGGACTGACACTGGGGAGTCCACTAGACAGCAGTATGCTTCAACCATTGCTGTTATCAATGGACTAGAAGCGGAAATGTCTGCATTATCGGATTCCCAGCTCAGGGACAAGACTTCTGTGCTGAAAGAGCGAGCTCAAACGGGCGAATCTTTGGATTCTCTTTTGCCTGTAAGTCTCGAAAACGAACTCTCCTCTAATTATCTAGTTTCATGCTCTATTCCTTGCTAAATTTTTGGTCTGGAGCTGCCTTTTTCTTTTTCCTTCTTCCTTTTTGTTTAAAAAAAAATATTTTTTTATAAATAAGTTTCCGCTTCTTAATGTGGTTAAAGTTTCTCTTTGATATCATGCTACTTTGCGTTTGTAACTCTACTTCAGATTCATTTCAGTACCATATTCAGATAACGATTGCTTTATCAGATTGTTATTTGGTTCTCGAAAATAAAACGTCTGCCAACTCATGCTCGAAATTTGGTAGATCTTTCGTGTCAACCATTCTATGGACCGTTGTATTGAACTTGAACGATTATGTTTCTAAGTTCTTTTCGTTCTAAGTTCCGAATGCTCTATTTTTAAGTTCTAAGCATAAAGTTTCTGCTGTAGGAAGCATTTGCTGTTGTGAGAGAGGCTTCGAAGAGGGTATTGGGGCTCCGACCCTTCGATGTTCAACTCATAGGCAAGTTATCTACTCTACATTTTCTCGGTTGCCTTTTTTTTTCCCTCATGAACAGTTCTGCCTGTCATCTGTTATGAATTGGCTTTATTTAGCAGTCCTGCTACCCTCTGCAAGTTGGTGGTTATAAGAAAGAAATTGCTTCGACCTTCTAGATCTCATCATCTTTACAATTACCAATTGGTTATCTCCTCTCTTTTGAGAAAGCCTTACATTGATTTTTCCCTCTCTGTATCTGATAATGTAATTTTCATTCCAAGAGATTGTTTGTGTTTGGACCCTTGAGTTGTTGAGCGTGTTCTCTTGCAGATCTTCCTCATTTGTTTGTCCCTTTTTACTCGTCAAACCCCCTTTTATTTACCACACTTCGGAAGGTTAAAATCTTCAAAAATGTTAAATTCTCACATTTTTGGTTGCACTTGCGAGGATTAACACCATTTACTTTGTCTAGAGGTCCTAAGTGGTGTGTTCTTTGTAAGCATGCTGAAGAGAATTAGGATCTTATGATTTAGAGATGTTGATTTGTGCAGTATGATTCTTGGACAGATTCGGAGTGCGGTTGGCTTTGAGTAGGACTTGTATTATGTGATGTTGGAGGAGGTGCTCTTATATTCACCTTCCTAGGATAAAGGAAGGGCTGTTTGCATGTTTCTTTTCTGGATATTCTGTGGAACATAGGGCTACAGAGATTTAGAGACTGAAAATTTTTAGGGGTGTAGTGGGTCTTAAAAGAGGAGGTGCAGAGGGTCATTGACTCATTGGTTCACTTCAATCCTCCCTTGGGTCATCTCCAACCCATCTTGTTTGTGATTATTATTATTATTTTGTAAGTATTGATAAATGATTAAATTGTTGTAACCCATCTGCTTAAGTTTTTAGGTTCAATAGAGATTTAATATGGTATCAGAATAGGAGGTCATGTGTTCAAACCTCTTTAACGTTATTTCCTATCCAATTAATATTGATAATCACTTATTGGGCCTTGTACAAATTTTGAAGCCCACAAGTGGTGAGGACTGAAGAGTATTAAAAATATTTGTTGTAACCCACCAACTAAAGTTTTTGGGTTAAGTGGAGATTTAATCATTCTTATTCTTAGACCTCTTTTCATATATATTTGTTCAAATCTCTCATTAAGAAAAATATAATATTAGATGTCAGTTTTATGTGGTAGATTTGCTTCTTTGCTATTTTGTGGAGGATTTGGATTGAGCGAAATAATAGAATTTTTAGGGGTGGAAAGATTCATGGGGTATGTTTGGGAGATTATTAGATTTAATACTTCATATTGGAGTTCTTTTTTTTTTTTTTTGTAATTATTAGTGGTGTTATCCTTTTGGATTGAAACCTCTTTCTTTAAATGGGCCTCATTTCTGTTGGATTGTTTTTTTTATGTCCTTGTGCACTATGTCTTTTTTCATTTTTCTCAATGAAAACATTGAAAAGTTCGGTTTCTCATTAAAATATTTATATATTTGGATAAGTTAGTTAATAGATTAAGGTTTCTTACATTTATTCCTTGTGACATTTTTTAATTTAAACTGCATATGTAATTCCTGATACGGAAGCATTATTATGCATCTATAAGGTACAAGCTTTTGAGTTTCTTAGTTCTTGTGTGTAGGTGGTGTGGTTCTTCATAAAGGAGAAATAGCAGAGATGAGGACTGGAGAAGGAAAGACCCTAGTTGCTATCTTACCAGCTTATTTGAATGCTTTGACTGGAAAAGGGGTTCATGTTGTTACTGTCAATGATTATCTGGCCAGGCGGGATTGTGAGTGGGTTGGTCAAGTCCCTCGTTTTCTTGGACTGAAGGTTGGACTCATTCAACGTATGCCTCATTCCTTTATGAATCTCCAAAAGAAATAGAAAAAAAATCATTACGTTTTTCATTGAGTAATTAGATGAACATTCTCCCTTCTGATTGCTCAAGGTTAATTTTTGTACAGGTTCTATGTTTTTGAGCTTTTAAGTTCTGACCTCTTGGTAATTTGTTTAATCAAACCTGCAAGTACAGATTCTATTTTTTTCATTACTATCTTTTGCTATATGTTAGACAACCAGCCAGCTGTGGTGATAACAAATATTTTAAGTACATGAAGATTTGATTACAATCATTTTATGTATTTGAAGACAAAAGGGTCATTAAATGTTTTTCTCAAGTAAAATTTTCATACTGTATTATTCTTAAATCTTTATTGTACATCGTTGTGAAATGTGCACTTGAACGATTATTGAACATGGTGGCTAATCATAGTTTCTGAAGAGCGAAGAAATGATGTATTGATGTCTTTTCTTGATATTGAGGCTAGGGGCTGTTTTTTCTTGTTTTATTGGCATTTGCAACTTTGACCTAGTGAAGTTTGAAGATTTATCTATTCTGAATTAATTCATTTTCTTTAGTTGGACAATGAATTTGCATTATCACAGTCCGGGAGTCACAATTTAACCTATATTTCTGCATTGCTGACTCTCTTGGTGTTTCACTGTCCTCCCATAAACTCACACCCGCACCATTTTGTGCAGAGAATATGACAAGTGAAGAAAGAAGGGAGAATTACCTAAGTGATATTACCTATGTTACTAATAGCGAGCTTGGTTTTGATTACTTGAGAGACAATCTGGCCACGGAAAGTAATTCTTGACTTATTTGCTTGTTTTCATCTACTTACTTTTCATTTGTTCCATTCCAGTCAAATTATCTAAATGCATTTGTCACGTGCGTGCAGAGTGTTGAAGAGCTTGTCTTAAGAGATTTCAAT